AACCTGAACTTTGTCAATTTACACATATTTTTGTCATTTGGACATACTGACATTGCATTTTGGGCCTAAAATCACACACAAAAAAGAAAATTTGAGTAGAAAAAGCTTTTATTTTTTCACTGTGAAACCCACAAATATGTATAACAATTATTTTTTATGGTTTAGAATTCTAAAGTATACTCTATATTTCAAAATTAATATGTACAAATAAAGCAAATAACTCATGTATATTAGATTATTATCAATAAAATGTAGGTAATCCATTCGTTTCTGTGCTACTATTTACAAAATATCAAATCAAGATTCCAAAAAATGTATAAATTTCCTAAATAAATGTAAATCCTGGCAATTACTTCTCCTGGCAATTTTAGTACACTATAAATTTCAAAATCAATATGTGCAAATATAGGAAACAACTCATGTTTAGAAGATTATCATCAACAAAATGTAGGTAATTCATTCATTTGTGCACAAACACATCAAAACAAGATTCCAAAAAATATAAAACTTTGCCAAATAAATTGAAGTCATGGCAATTATTTATCTATGTTTGTACAATTATTTACAAAGGATAAGATGTAACAAAAGACAATAAAAATTATTTGTGCCACTCCAGAAAACAATTTCTGTCCACCGCAACACAGAGGGGCACATCGCATGCCTGACACTTCCATGGAGTGTCGTGCCGTTTTTTGTACTGCAAGCAGTGCCTGCATTTCAGTCTGCCTTTGCTGCCTTTTTGGGCAGAATCTGTGACTGTGGAAATTGCCACAGGAACATGGTCTGCTCTCCTGCTCTGAGAAATGCCTTCCTTGCTCATGCCACAAAGCTGACACATGAGCTCCACCATGAAGTCTTTGTGCGTCATGGCCTGTTCTTGCTTTGTGCTGCTTATCTCACGGTGCAAGATGAAAGCATTTGTCGTTGCAATGTCCAGAAAATGGAGCAGCAAAGTCCTGTACCAGCGGCTTGTTTTTCTCTTAGTGGAGTAGTACTGAATCAACTGGTCTGAAAGATCAACTCCACCCATATTTTTGTTATAGGCCACAATTGGTGTTGGACAGGGAATCTTTCTTACAGACCAGCTCCCATCTGCAGCCTTTACTCTTCTGTCCACTGTCTCTCCAGAAAAAGCAGGATGGATGGTGGAGCACACAGAGACCTCACGAGTGTCCATCCATTTCACAAAAACGAGGGGTCCTTCTCTGATCCACCTTACAGATCCTCTTTTGCTTTTCTTGGTCAGAGCATTTCCCCTCCCTCTGGGACATCCCTTTCTGTTCTCCCTGTATGTTCCACATGCTCCAAACTTCATTCTTGCTAAGTCCATAAAAAGTTTTGGACTAGAATAAAAATTGTCCATATAAATATGGTATCCTGTACCAAGGAAGGATGTCTGAACAAGATCCTTGACAACATCATAGGCCAGGCCATGCACACTTTGAGTTTGTGTTTTGCCAGTGTAAATATTGAATGCAATGGTGTAACCACTGGCTGATTCTGCCAATACAAAAATTTTCACTCCCCACTTTGTCGGTTTGTCCTTCAAGTACTGCGTGATGCCAGTTTTTGCTTTAGTTCCCACCATTCTTTCATCCACAGACAGCTCTCTTCTTGGGTGGAAATAAGCCTTGCAGGCACAGAGGATGTCATCGTACAGAGGCCTGATTCTAAAAAGCTTGTCATGTCCAGGTGTTCCTTTTGTTTTATCATTCTGTTCATCTTCCTCTGGATCACTAAGGTGAATGTTCCAAAATATTGTTCTGAATCTGTCTCTGGACATCACTTTGTGTGGAATGGGCACAGACAAAATACTGTTTTGCTTCCAATAATCCTGAATACTGGGCAGTGAAACTAAAGACATATATATCAGTAGACCAAAAAAATTGTACAGATCTTCCATTTCAATGTCACTCCATTTGTACTTTTTCCCTAATATATTTTTTGTTGCATTTTTGTTTGTGTTGAGGCAAATTGTTTTCACTGTGTCAGTGGCAAAGTATAATAAAAAAAGATCTTTTGGACTATGGGAAGAAAGGTTGTTTATTTGGACACCGGGTGTTCGCCGTGGCTGAAACCTGCTTACTCCCGGCACACTGTCAGGATCCTCCTCCGTCTTCCAGGGATCACTGTGGGGGAGGGGCTCAGCAGCGCCACCTCTCGGTGATCGAGACCGCGCAGTTGCACGGCGCCGCCTACTTCTCAGTTTCGATCTTCGCTTAGCTACGTTTGTCCCTATGTTTGTCCCTACCTCATCTTCTTCCTGATACCCATGTTCCCTCTCTCTTCCTGATATGAATGACTGAATCGCTACGTTGTCATCAGAATCCTCGCTGTCTACTTCAGACTCAGACTGCGAGTCTTCCTCATCTTCGAGCTCAAAAAAGAGCTTTGCTGCCTGCTCCACGTTCATTCTTCTCATCATTATTTACAGAAAAAAACAAAAAACAATGTCCGAAATACAAATTACCAGGTAGATTTTACCGATCGTCTGATATCACAACTATCTATCGACGTGCCTCTTTTTTCTCTTCTCCGTTCCCGCGTTACTGCTTTTTTTCCCCCTCATTTTTCCTTTTTTTCGCGCCGTTACTTACGTCACTGTCCTTCGTTTATCTGCAACAAAATGTCAACTCTTACCAGTTGAATACGTGAGCTCGAGTGAGAGGATC